ACACCTAGGATGAATAACCATTATTCTCAACTACAACCCCAATCTAACTTTAATTACGTTCTATCTCTACACCGTAACAACTTCTGCCATCTTCCTCATCCTTAGCACAACCAATACCCTAAAACTATCCACTGTTATATCCACATGAACCAAAATCCCATCACTCACTACAATCCTTATGCTCACCCTTCTCTCCCTCGCAGGTCTTCCTCCCCTAACAGGATTCCTACCCAAGTGATTAATTATTCAAGAGCTCACAAAACAAGAACTAACAGTATTAGCCACAGCTATTAGCCTACTCTCTTTACTTGGACTTTTCTTCTACCTACGACTGGCCTACTGTGCAACCATCACACTACCCCCAAACTTCACCAACTACATAAAACAGTGACAAACTAACAAACCAACTAACACCATAACCACAACCTTTACCTCCCTATCAATTATGCTCCTGCCACTATCTCCCATAATACTCGCAATCCCCTAGAAACTTAGGTTATTTAAACCGAAGGCCTTCAAAGCCTTAAACAAGAGCTAATCCCTCTTCGTTTCTGTTAAGGTACACAGGACACTAACCTGCATCTCCTGAATGCAACTCAGATGCTTTAATTAAGCTAGAACCTCCCCCTAGACAGATGGGCTTTGATCCCATAAAATTTTAGTTAACAGCTAAATGCCCTAACCAACAGGCTTCTGCCTACTAGATCCCGGCGCATGTTTAATGCACATCAATGACATCCAAAGGTCTTTGGGACTCTGCACTATTCTCTCATCTTAATAGATGATGCTGATGCACTCTGTAAGAACTTGTGAGAAAGCAATTGCTACCTCAGACTGTTACAATCAGCATACTGGGGAAATCTGTTTTTGTTACCATATGTGACACTAGGCAAGTCCCTAACCCTGGCTCACCTGAATGAGGGTAAAAGCAATAGCAGAGTCTACCTTCAGAGAAATTGGCAAGAGAAATAGTTTAGATTACATACCCTCAGCAGCTACACAGCAGGGAGCAGCACAACTCCCTTGCAAGTTTATTTAACGTATGCAGGAATAAATCTGCTCCTCTAAATCTGGCAGCTGCTGTAACTGTTATGCTAACTTTAACAGCAACTCCAAATACTTAATTCAATTTACTTAAAATTTTACTACTGCTATCTAACAGGCAGTGTACTAGGACTAAGAAAGAAAAATAAAAATCCAGGTCTATGAGTGTTTATACTTATGTCCTTTCTAGTCCTACACAGAAAGTTTCACATGTTTCTGCTGTTTGAGACAGAACAGGGATAAATCGTTCCAATTCTGTCACATTTTGCCAAGTGCACTCAGCACACCGTGGTATTGGCCACTTTCCCCATACCCCAATTAACAAAACTCTTTACAAAATCTTTTACACCATAATACGGAGTCAAGAGAGTATATACATTACTTCTGACTAGTAAAGAAAATTCAGAAATATATTGAAGTTTGGGTGCCTCTGAGGAAGACAACTGCACACATATCAAGCAATAATACTCTGTTTCTTTTGATCTTCTCAAGAGTTGCAGGCTGTTAGCATGAAATAAAGGTATGTGTGGCCAGAGAAATTTGCCTCACACAGCATTTTTTAATGAATCAATAATGATAAATGGGAAAATGTTTTGTAGCCCTGACCACCAGCAACTTACTTACGTATTATGCCCCGGTATGTACCTCCAAGCCCTCAGCACAGTGCTTTTCCAGGCTCATTAAAGACCATTGGATTCACTTGTATTCTTACCACTGTATAAGCAAAAGTATCCTTTAGCCTTTTATACACTTCTTTTACACATATTTTTCTACTTTTCCAGATAACGAATTCTTACAATGCCTTAATATATTTGCTACACAACTGTTTTATATTGGTACCCAATTCTAGTATCAGCATATCTTAATTGCCAAGTTTTCCCAGTGAAACAACGCAATAATAAATTTACAGTAACTACAAGTAATCTCAGATTTCCACTTGCCTTGAAGCTTCTCAATATATCTCATTTCAGAGACAGATCAGAGAAAGAAAAGTTGATAAAAGAGCCAAAGTAAGCATCAGTCAAAACGCCACAAAGATTTGTGCAGTCCTACCAAAGCTTTCCATGTCTTTCTTAACTGTACAAGACAAAGCAATAGATCTGGAGTTTTAACAAGTCCTTTTATCTAAACAGAATTAGTGCTCATACATGGCAATGTTTTTCAGAGTATTGCTTTCCATTTCCTGTTTGTTGGGGGTTTTGTTTTTCTTGGTTCGATTTTTTTTGGCAATGAAAGTTACTTCAAAAGATTTGTCTTGAGTGTTAACCCTTATTAATGTTCTCATCCACGGTACTACAAAAGATAACACACACCACAGTGGAACTTTCCTAGAAGTTGGTAGTTTTATTCCCATGCACATACATGTGGGGAAAAAGTAAAAAGGAAAATTAAAAAAGGCTGTTGAGAAAATCTAGGAGAGAATTTATAATAAATTAACAATAAATCAGGTAGCAGCCCATGTCCATTTCTACGGAAGACAAAAATACTTACTTTAAAGGAGCAAATCATATATAACTGTTTAAATCCACAAAGGTCCTTGATTAATGAGTATGAATAAATTGTTAACACATTCTGTGAGCCACATACTAACTGTTCACAAGCTGCAACCTGTTTAAGGCTACTGAAATGTGATGGGGGGAAATCCCAACCACCCACACCTTTTTTGTCCAGACAAATCATCCAAAAAGAAATTAATAAAGCTCGGTGCTTTCATAAGACTTCGCATCTTCAAAGAACCAAGTGCACATTTAGCTAATCAATTAATTCCCCTGTCTTGAATCCAAAGTGAATTAGAGGGATGGAGGCCAAATCATCAAAGTTCAGGCAAGCCTGATGAGCTTCATGACACGGAGGCTGGCTGCAGCCCCGGTAGCAGCAGGTCCAGCGCTCCTCTGCTTTATGGGGCGCCCCCCCTGCCACAGCTGAGTCCATCCAAGCTGTAACTCATGGGGGGGTATCTGAAAGTCACTTCAGCGCTCCCTGCTTGAATAGTGTTCACTTGGAAGCTCTGGTACAGAGGATTCACCTTCTAGGTGCTCTTTCTGCTCTAAGCCAGGACCAACTGAAGGCTCTTAAA